GAATATTAGTCGTTCGCGGTCATCCGCACGCGAGCGCGCTAATACAAACGTATTGGAGCGCGCTATTTTACGACCTGGAGCCAATTTCAAGCCAAACACTCGAAAAGTACCCCTCGCTTGAACACCCATAACTTCTTTGAGAGTAGAGCTTTTGGACAGGGGAAAGCAGGAATGGGGGCAAATTGGCTCTTATTACCTGAATTGAGCGATTTCAAAAACATCCCTTTTCGAGAAATTTTCTCCGTTGTGATCCTAGCGTGATCCTCATCTGGTCATCCACAAGTCTTATGGCTTGAACAGCCATAACAAGCTTCACACAGGGCATTTCGTGAAAAGAAAAACAGTGCCAGAAGCATGAAGCTTTCTACTTTCCAGCAAGACTTTCATTTTATCCCTAGGCCTGCTATTCGAAAAAATCCCCCGTTGTGATCACAGCGTGATCACTGCCCACGACACGAAAAATCAACCCCTCCGACGCCATAAAACCTCCAGTTGGCTTAAAGACTTTGGTATGCTTCTAAAACGCATGTTTTCGCCAAGGATATCAGGAAATAGTTCATTGGGCGCCAATTGGCATCACCTCTGCAATGCGCCATGCATAGCGCTTTCACGCAGAGCTATTGGGAAGGTGCAACTTCTAGAAAGGGCTTCCTAGGTGCAAGTAGATGTGCTTCTGAGACAGAAAGGTCCGGAAGTGTATTTTCATCTGTTTATTATTCATGGCGGATATTCATTGGCGCGGAGGTGGTGTAGTGACAAGTGGCGCGCTTACCACTCGCGCGATGCCGGGTTCAAATCCCGGGTCGACTCGCCCAGGCCAACCAAGCCTTCTACCCTCCGGGGACGGTAAATTGGTACCAGATTCGTCTGGGAGGATAAAACACTGACTTGTACATCGGCTGGCCACCGCAAGTCATTGTATAGGCCACATCGCATTCAATAAGCCACTACGATTCTGAATGGAAGTAGAATGCGTGCCGCATCCCACAAAGGGGTTGATCAACGGCGGAGACTTTATCCTTTATCTTTTTTATTAATTCATGACGTCGTTGTGGGCGGCCATCGTATTTCCTGTCATCGCCCGTTCCCCACTTCTGCGCTGGCAGGTTGCTTCTGTCTTGTGTGGGTCTCTTCAGGGGTTCTTCACATGGATAAGTCTTTCATCATTGAAGCTGAAC